AACCCAGGACCTCGTGCTTGCTAAGTATGTGCTCTACCACTGAGCTGTACTCTACTACTGAGCTATATCCTCCCCACTGTTTACTTGTGTTTATATTTATAAATGAAGGTATCATCTAAATAGAGTGTTAATCTTGCATAAATCTCGTATAGTCTCCTCCACACCCTGTTATGTTATACCTCTGAGCTCAAGCTCAGAGTTTGCTGGGAACTCTGCCTATTTGCCTGAAATACCTTCCTCCCACCACCTCAGATGGGGCTAACTCCTACTCATTCTTTAACACTCCACATAACCATCACTTCCTCCAGGAAGCCCTCTCTGATTCCTAGGCTAGGCTAACTATTTCACTTCCACCTTTATTCCACTGGCAAAATTGTCTCTACCATATTAGATGGAGGGCTTCCTGAGTGCTGACCCCATGTCTTTTTTGTCTCTGTCTCACTCCTTCCTGGCACAACTGTTGGGGGACACTTGGCTGGGTGGTTGACATGGGTTGGTAAGAAGAATTTACCAGAAAGGAAGATGTTTAAGAACAAAGGAAAGTTTAATACATGTGCTGCTACACGCAACAGTGGGCCACACAGGCAAGAGATCCCTGCGTGTCCCCGAGTGTGAACATGCAGGGTCTTTTATCGGGGAAGGGGCTGTGAACACAAAGGAATAGAACAGCCTTCTGATTGACTATATGTGAGGTAAGGGGCTTTGGTGTATGAGAGGATAGTGGATTCATGACTCCAATAAGGAGGAAGGTGGGCTGAGACAATTGACCTGAGCTACAATGAGGCTAGTCATTTCCCAGGGCCTGTTGATTTTGCTAAGGCAAACACATTAGGAAAGGGTGTACTTTGGTTTTTTTTCAGGGATTGCAGGCAGACATCCAAGAGCCCACGAGTGGGGGTTCGCAGGGCCTCTGCAGGCACCAGGTGGTACTGCAACGATGTCCAGCACTTAGTAAGAACTCAATAAATACTTACTAAATGGAACCCAAGTGCATATTACTCTGATTAAAGATAAGGTTTTTCTTCAACTGCATGGGTTAAACCACAAAACTTGATATTCTGAGGTCTCCTCTTTAAGGAAACAATTCCAAACAAGAAGATCCTCAGTGGGACCAGCTGCATAATTTGCAAGGCCCAGTGCAAAAAGAAAATGCAAGGCTCCTTATTTAAAAATTATCAAGAATTTCAAGCCGGTGAAAGCAGAGCATTGAACCAAGCCCAAGGTCCTTCTGAGCGTGGGACCCAGAATGACTGCTCGGTAACTGAGAGTAGCATCCCAGGGACACAATGGGACCCAAGCAACTCCAGTGCCCTTTGGCCTTGCTGAACCTGTAGCTTGCAAATCAGGCAGGCAAAGAATGGCAGGGAACCGCATAGCTGTCCAGGGCTTCTGGTCAGTGGTGCTGGTTCCAGGGAGCTGTCTTGAAGTGGGCAGACAGATGAGCAGCCTGGGGAAATGTCTTGTTTCTTGAAGCCCCAGCTACCCAGTGATCCCCCAAAGCCTGAGGGAAGAGATATGGCTACTGACTGGCATATGTTCAGCCGTGACTCAGCACTTTCTTTGGGACTTTATATCTGACAGAGGACTTCCTGCAAAGCACTTGCCAGTTCACTCAGCCCAGTGCCATGTACTAATGATAACAGTCAAACCCTTCTCTGGGCTCCGCCTACGTGTCAGGCACAGACAGCCCCATATTATCTCATTTGAACCTTTGAGGCAACCCCTCCTTCAATCAGTGCCACTCCATTTAATTCAATTTTATGTGTGTGTATGTTTGGGGCAAAGGGTATACTGTGTGTACGTCCTGTTACCCTTTGCTTAAAATTCATACTTTTAAATTTGATTTTGATAGCCAAGTAATACATAATACATTTATTTGTTCTCATTAAAAAATTTAAATGGTACAGATATAGCATAAGTGACCCTTGACATTCCTTTGTCATTCTACTGTGTAAACCATCCCTCTTTGGATGCATTTACAGGCTGAAACATGAACATGTAGAAAGATAACATTTTGTAGTTAAAAAAAAATAAGTAAAAAGGATTGTCAACTAATCAGTGGTCAATCTGAAAGGGAGCAGGGCCCTGTGGGCCACCCCTCCCCCAACCCCTGCCTCTTGTTTATAGAAAAGCTGAAGTCATCCAGGCCTCCCTAAGTCTTAGAAGAGCAGGTTCAAAGAGCAGATTCAAGCAGTGATTAGGACAAGTCTGCAGGTGTTAGGGGATGGCAACAACTCTGACCACTACCTCAGTGATTAACTGAGATTACTCCTCCACTTCCCTTTAGAACTTCCATGGCTGAACAGAATCTCTGGAGATTTTTTTGGGGGGGGGGGAATGCTGGGTCTACCAGATTGCAGTCATTCTGGTTAAAAGCAACTTTCCTTATTGTTACCAAGGCTGTTGCCCCCAGGATCATACCCCTCCCTCTCCCTTTGCTAGAAACCTATTACTCTTATCAAATTTCCAGGAGGCAGCTGCAATGAGAAGAAACAGAAAGTGGTGACCAACAGGGTCCAAGATGGTGGAGGGTTTGACTTCCAGTGGACCTTGAGCCTCATTCCATTACACATTCATTGTAATGTATTAGCATGCTAAATGCCACACGCACAGTGCCATGACAATTGACGATTGTTATGACAACACCCGGAAAAGCCCACACAAGGACTGAAAAGCCTGAACACAGACTGACTGTCTCCCTCACACCCAGAAGGAGGACATGATGGCCAAAGCCTCTCATAAAAGGCTGGACACGTGGCCTGACCTGGGCAGGAGGTGTCTCTACTGGCCATCTTGCCTGATGTCTTCCTGCTTGAGTGCTTTTCTTTCCTTCTCACTGTTTGAGAACTTTCCTTCCTTTTCCTCTTTTAAGAATAAAAGCAGTTTTCACTGTCCCTCTGCCTCAGCTGTGAATTCTTTCCAGCCAGCTGGTAAGGACCCACACTTTGGTGGGCTTCCTAATTTAGGGTCTCACTATAGCTAACAAATCTAAGAAAGAAATGGAAAATTGTATTCGAGCCAACCTGAGCTCTGAGAATTTGTTCTGAAGAGGCGAGGGGGGAGGCCAGTATATATGTGATTTTGACCAAGGGGTACATGCAATCAAGTACACATCTTGTTAGAAGGTTACTGCTATTTGCAAGGAATAGATATCTTAGTTAATGGTTTTAGTGCATTTCTAAGTATGGAAAGATGCCAGAAAGCGAGTTCATAAAAATTTCTTCTGAAAATATCTATCTGGCCCTAGAGCACAAAGTGCCTCATTCTAATCTCTGCTCTGAACTCTCTTCAGGGAGTATTGCAGGTCAGCGACTTCAGTGGCTAGTGACATGATTCTTGTAGAACTGGATGGTGGGCAACAGTCTTTATTTCATAATCTCTTCCCTTTTGGTCTTAATTTCCGCCAAGGTTTGGGAGGCATTTCATGACTGGTTTGTCCCATGGCTCTAGGAATGCTCATTCCCAGGTGAGGCAAAGATTTCGTTGACAGGCCTCTCACTGTGTTATTACTGGCTAGGTAGGACCTGTTAACAGTAGACAAAAGCCTCTGGACCACCTGTCTTACAGTCTGTCATGGTCCAGGAAATGGTTTCCTCTTATTGCTTCTTCCCATATCTAGAATTACACTATTACAAGCATTGATCTTATAGAACTATGTATTAGGTTAGTCGTTTCAAGTCACTTAATCATCATTAATTCTATCTGAGGCTCAGTCGCGCATTTGGTGATGCAAGAAACAATAATGTAAAGTAGGCAGAATACAAGTCATATAACTAGTGACATTAATAAAGTCATAAGTAAGTACTTAAGAACTTTCATTATGTGTGGCCCAGTATCTCCTCAAGCTATTTGTATTGTGTCCCCTTATTGGATTGAGAAAGGAATGTTATCACCTCAGGAGTTACATGGCTGGTGCCAGGATAAATATTGATCTTTATGGTTGAGCAGGTATTTCTGCCGTTGGGGAGGTCTGGTTAATGCATAAAGCGGATGCACAAGGCACACTGGAGGGGAGGGAGGAGGCCCAAATGGGCAGAGAAAAATTTTGTTTAAATTTTTCTTGTCTCCCCTTAACATATGAATTTTTATTTCATTGTACTCAATAAATCCCCCCTAAAAATTTATCACGAAAATGTATGAACATACAAAAAACTCATCACTTTCATTCTTAACATTTTGCTATATTTGCTTTATTAGATGGAGTCTAGCCATCAATTAATCTTATTTTTTAATGCATTTCCAGCAAGTCGTAAACATCAGTACACTTCACGCTTTAACACTTCAGCATATACATTATTTTGAGTTTAGTATCTGTTTTTAAGGTTACATTTACACAGTAGAACGTATTTTTGTGTTTTCCTATAACTTGATTTACCCCTTCTACTTGGTGTTCTCCCTACGGCGGTGTCTGCCCTTCTTTTTTAACTGTGGCACAACTCTGTTAAATGGATGGGCCCCAGTTAACCCCCAGCCCAACCTCTTCTGATGAACGTTTGGGTTGTTTCACGGTTTTCGCCGAAATGGCGTGTCCTGGTAAGTGCTGCAATGACCTTCCTAGTTTGTGCCTTTCTGGGTTCTCGCCAAGTGTTTCTCTGGAACAGCTTCCCAGAAGTCGAAATACTGGATCAAAGAGAATGTCCATTCTAAATTTTAACATACCTTGCCAAACTGTTCCCTCCTTCCCAACAACTCCCTCAAACACCGCACATTGTCCACACCTTTGCCAATACCGGACAATGTCAGTGTTTTAATCTTCAGCCAATCGGATGGTTAAGGGAATGACGGGATACCAGTGTGGATGAACAGAAAGGGCAGGTGGAGCCCAGCATGAGATGAACCTGAGGCGGTGGAGACACGGGGCTAGAAAAGCGCGTAGCCCCGAGGCGTCCTCTTAAGCACGGGGGTCTCAGGGAAGCCAGCTTTTTCACTCGCCAGCACTCCGACTTCTGCAGCAGACCTGGGGGCCCGCAGAGTTGCCTCGTGCCCGCCGCAGGGGCGTGTCCTCCTCAGGCCCGCCCCCGCTGCGTGCGCACGTCGGGCCGCCTGCTCGACTGCGGCGTGCCGCGGCGGCTGAGGGAGTCGCTGACAGACTCGCGGACGCGGCGCTGACGGGAGGTGGAGCGTCCCTGCGGCCGGTGAGTGCCCGCGCCCTGCCGGGCCTCCCTCACGGCTCCTTGGCGACCCTGACCGGCCCGGGCCCTCTGGAGCTGGGCATGTCTGGCCGCGGGCCGCTACGCCCCA